AATTCCACCCTGTGAGCAGCGCCTCATAGTTCTAAGACGAATTTAGTATGCAATGAAGTCTCTATCCTCTGCATACAGGAGCTGTCACGTTCCTTTTCTCCAATGCTTAGAACACACTTGCCGGGGACGCATCTTCAAAAGCAACTTCACTGTCAAGAAAGGCGCATATCGCAACCTCGTCATTATCCAACGAATTCTGGAGCTAAACCGTGAGTACCTGTCTCCTCTGGAACGTAGACCGATGCTAGGACAAAGTCTGAACCTTTCTTGTCCTTCCTCTACATCATAATTAGATCCTACGTTAGAAACTCTGAAATACTCTGCATTCGGAGATGATGTGGAAACGGCTTTGTAGCAGAAGATGTCAAATATTGACTTGCATTTAAGTGCAAACCCATATCTCGGGACCTACTCTGCCGATTGTAACTAAATTCAATAATAAATTTACCCTAAAATTCTTATATCACAGTGAAAAAATGTTAGAGATATTATAGAAATTCGGAGAGACACCGCTTGCGCTTCCTGATAATATTATGACGGTGTGCCAAAAATGGGTTAAATCTGTTTAATACTTTCCTGAGCAACCATATATACCTGTAATCAAATTAAAAGGTGAATTTTGTCCATTTCATCTCCCTCAAAGTAATCCCCTTCCGCTGCAATACACTTACGCGAAAGAATTTTGCAGTCATCATAGAAATTGGAAAAATCTTTCGTCGCGATGGCCATCAGAGACTTCTTCGATAGAGCCTCTACATTCTCAATTGAGTCAAAACGGTGTCCTCGGCGTGGTCATGCGTATTCGCTGAAGAGCCAGAAGTTACAGTAAGGTAAATCAGGCGAATGCGGTGGTTGCGGCGCGATATTAGTTGAAAAGCAGTCTGAGATGGTGCATTATCGCACTTCTTTGTTCAATAAATTGAGATATAAATTCAGAAAACTCAAATTCCTTTCAACTCAACTCTTACTTGTTTAACGATAATGCTTTTTAGGTTTCATCCATGGAGATGGCTAGAAAGCTTATTGCAGTGGAGGGTCGCTTTTAACTCGAAAACTATTTTTTTTTTTTTCAAAAATTTAGTGCGTTTTTTCAAATATGCATAAGGAACTCTTGATATTTTTTAAACCATTGACAAAGTATTTTTTTTTTATTTTCAAATTTTTCTTTTTTCATTTTGCACACAACACAAGGATTGCCGCTTAAAGGTTTAATTTCAATCTATTACAGTTTTCATCGCCATAGATGGCAAATAGTACAACGGAACTCACAGTATAATGCAGCATTGATGTGAAGATTAGAAGCTTCTGAGATGCATTTTTGCACATGTTGCATGCGCTTTTAATCTAACACTAAGCCAACTCTAGAGGCGGGCCTGGCAACGCATAACAACAGCGCACAACAAAATAAAGAAAGCAAATCATAATAACGGTAAGAATAAACTACTTACGTGTTGGCAGTACAAAGTGAGTGTGAAAATTGTAGCGAGAAGCGAGGCGTTGCAAATAAAGTCGTGACAGGAAGCGAGCGGATAAATATTAAAAGCGGCACGGCACACACACACACACACACACTGGCATATGTGTGCATGCGATTGCTTAGACCTATGTGTGCCATGTTGTCCAAGTCAATGCAGTTGTGTATGCATATGTTAGCATACATTTACATTTGCCATGCCGATTGCCGATTGCCGGTGCCGGGGTGTGCGTATGGGTGCGCGGAGCACGGGTGGTGGTGGCTTTGAAATAGTGATGATGATGATGACAGATGAGAGTGTAGTGTTTGTGAATGCCTAAAAGGCTTTTGCAATGGTTTATTGCCTGGCCGTCACACCTCTCCGCGCCAAGTGATGTACGCATACGGCAAAGTTGTCACCTGTCACATGTTCGCAGCAATTGACAGTTGAACTTATAGGAGGCACACGCACACGCACACGCACACGCCCGTATTTACCGTATGATTGCGTAGCGAGGCAAAGCTTTTATCAAGTGCCTATTTCACTGCTTATGCACCTCCTTTGCACCTCCACCTCTGCCAACAGCAAGCCTCGCCTGCTGTTCTTGTTTCCATTTGCTTATTTTCATAATTCCTTTTTGTGCTACTTTTTGCTGCTTAAAGAAATGAAAATTACATTCAAAATGAATGAATTGAGATGCATTGCGAATGCATTTGAAATGAATGCCGGCGCATGTGTGTGCGAGTGAATGGTTGACTGGGTAAGTGAATGCCACATTGCTGCACTCTGCACCTTTGTGCGACACATCATTGAAGCGCCATGTCTGCAGACTCATAATAAGCGCGCTTACAGTGTGATTGCAGATATTTTCCGCGAAAATTTATTTTTAGTACTTCCGCAGATGATAACTGGTGCATTAAACCCAAACGTGTTTAGTCAGAAAAAGTGTAGTCCAAGACTTTACAAGGAACATCTACAATATCTTCAAAAATCATGTATATGTTTTCTAACAAAAAAAAAAAATATTGGCAAATAATCTCAGTTAATCAGCATGCATTTGGACTCAAGGCGCGTTACTGTGCAGCGGCATCCACCGGATGCAATTGTACTGGGCATTGCAACGAGCAGACGAACGGAGCCTCCTGTGTCCATAGGGGGGTAGTAAATGTATGCTGCTTCACTGTTGACTTGCATTCATGCTTAGAGTGCGAAATATTGTAAATTCAAACATTGCGAATTTCAAGTTGTTGATGGATGATTGCTGATAATGTTGATGCAAACCACTTCTCCAGCTGCGCTCGGCTCTGTCACCAACTCCAGACGGTTACAGATAGTGATGGAAAAGTAGTTAATGAATGCGATTGTCGTGTTGATGTGAGAATGTTTGATGGCGTTGTTGATCATCATGAATAATGCTGCATGTGCCATAATTGCGAATTGATGCAAACATAGACGCTAGTGTATAAACATACTGAAATTACATGGAATGCAATTGAGAGCACATGTTTAATTCATCTCCGGCGGGCTATGCTGTCTTCGTGGCCAATTTCGCCTACTAAAGAAGTCATTATTCCTTTGATCAGTCAACCGCTTTTATCAATCGAAATCTAATTTGTATGCGAACAAGCATTTAACACCATCGATGGCTTAATCTGGTTGTTACGGTATATTTTCCTCTTCTTCTTCTTTGGGACTACGCCTTCTGTCGATTTGGGCGGAGAATACGAAACCTCGCCAGTTGCCTCTATCCATTTCGAGGTCACGCCAGTTGTAAATACAATTAATCCGTGGCGGCTCCGGCTTGGGTTGTTCATCCATAAGTCTCAAGTTGAGTAGAAGGAGCTTTTAACTGGAGCTTCATCTTATATGAGAACAGCAAAGACATATCCGGCGCATTCCTTGAATTTTTATGCCCTTAACAATATCCATGGCGTCGAAAAGCTCATACAGTTCGTGGTTCTATCTTTTTCGATGTTGACAACACGGATACGTACGTCTAGTATAGTGGAAGCCTACCTTCCATTTATCATAACGTGGTCTAGACAGGTAGTTTCTCTCTATTGTCGGAGGTGTTACTGTGAAAGCTAAATTCTTTGCCTAACTTCGCGGTGAAACCACCGAGCTTGATCTTAACATTGCGGTGGTGACAATTCTCTTATGCTTCCTCCGACCGTTCGTAAAATTGCTCCTCGATATCTTCGTTTTTATCTTCTGTCTGCGCGTGAGTACATCTTAGACTATTGTGAAGGAATTTGGTTTTGATGCGGATTATGGCTATTCTTTCACTCATCGGTCGGAGACAAGGTGGCGATACTTTCGACCAACCAACTGTAGTGCATATTTTGTGCAGCCATGTCTCGTCCAACTCTTTTCCTGGAGCGCGGCTCTATATTTTTGACATGCCGTATGAAGGGTCTGGACATTCCAGGTGCATACTCGTGATTTGTGTGGCTTTGTGAGTTTGCTGTGGTCAACAGTTGGGGATGTCTATATACGAGGCTTTCGTGTTTCTTTCATTGGAATTATATATGCTTTAATTATAACAACAGTGGAACTCTTTCTTTGAAAAAGTTTTGACTTCTTAAAGGGGAATTACTGGTCAGGTCAATATTTCAAAAACTGAGTGACTAGTTCGCATTATACAAACAAAAGAACATGCTTAAGTCGACTTTGCTCGTCAAGCTGATCAGCCTTTCTGTACCGTCGATAGAATTGGTTATTAACCAAGAAAAAATGTTGGGACCGGCCAATCTACACGGCTATTGGAGATGTCTGCTTAATAGAATGTGCGTTTAGTAGATAGTTCACTGCATAACAAACATTGGCAGCTCGATCGGCACCAAGAACACTGAGTTACGACAGATTTTCATCTACGCCAACCTTTGTATGCTGAACACAAACAAACATGCTTTAATCTAATAATTTATTCAAATATACATATATGGTGATATACATATATATATATTGAATAAAACATTTATGGACATACATAGACGCCATCATATGTAGATAAGCGCTCAAATGCAAAGCGTAGCACGATCACACTCTCTCGCCTCTTTCGGTCGCTCTTTGAGGGCTTTAGTCTCGCAGCGGCACTCTTAGTTATCTGGTGATTACCTTCAGCTGCTTAGCTGTTTGACTTAGACGCCACTTTGCCAATTTGGCTACCTTGCAGGCGGCCAAGCCAACCGCGAAACACAGTGATCGGCAACAAACATATCAACATACAAACCTTCCTACATATAAATACGCTTAATAATTACGAACGTAAGGTGTACCGAGCGTGAAGCGTAAAGTGTTTTGTGTATATTACTTTGCGTTATTCATCAGCTGTGAACTATAAAGAAAGACAACAACTACTCGCACTCGGCCAAACTACACATACGTGGGTATACACTTATACACATATACAGACAGGTAAATAATCGCTTTAGGAGCGGAGCGCGCGATCGCTTGTTGACGTTGAGCGTCGAACGTCGAACGTGGAAATGTACATGACTTTTATTGGACGGCGTGTGACTCAGTCAGTAGCTTAACGTAGTTTGGTAGCAGCAAACCGAGTGCACGCAATTTCGGAAACTACCTTATATACATTTGGACGGCTACAAGCGCAGTCGTAAAGTGCGCGCAATGCAATTACGTAAGCACGGTGAATAGGAAGAGTGCAAAGCGTGGAAAGGCGTGAAAAAGTGAAAAACTCTAAAACAAATTCTAAAAACCTTGTTTGTGTGCCAAAATCGAGCAAAACTGTGATAAAGTATTTGCGTCAAGTTCAGTGAATTCCGCGCATAAAGATTCAAATACGAGTGAAGTGAGCTTTCAAATTCACCCTCAAGAGCCACTTTCATGAGGTATAAACCGCTAAATAGTGTGCATTGATTTCCACCTACTCACCTTAGCTATTTTCAAATACAAGGTCCAAAATATTTTAATAAAAAGTGAATTGCTCACCTAAAACAATAGCGGAATTCGTAAGTTCAACACTGATAAGATAAGCACAAAGGCGAGAGAGAGCAAACTTAGCAACCGCGCACTCACACACATATATTCCATTGCAACCGTGTGTCGCGCAGCGAAAGCGGGGTAAGTTGCTTTATATACTCCGCATATGTAAATTAGCCGTATCGCTGCACACCTGACGTCGCACCAGCTGTTGTTCTTGTTGTTGTTGTTGCTGCCAGCTAGATGCTTTGCACGTTGTTGGCGTATTATCTTACACCTACTCTACTTCATGTAATAAACACGCCGTTAGCCAAGCATAGAAAGCACTTACATACTTCCACCTTAAGTGCGAACAATGGCAAACTAGTTCTGCATTCTCTTTGAATAATAATTTGAAACAGCTGAAGTCCCACAAGTTGCATCGCTGCCAACGGCTGAAGTCAATGCTATTGACGGCAAATATCCAGTTGACAATCATAAAGCTATTATTTGCATGTTGGAGATGTGTGTTTGGTGTCGGTACTAACAGCGGCGTGAAATAAACATTATATTAACACACAACTAGCTACACTTGATCTGTGTTTGATCGTGGGCTTTCTGTAGACATATATACTCTTAATTTGTCAAGAGCCCTGGATCCGCTTAATTTATCTTCTTCTTTATTAGACTACGTATTCTTACGTAGACGCTACTTACGGGGTTATAGCCGAATTTGCAAGATCCCAACATCCTACTCAACCTGGTCTTTCTAATGGAGTGAAAGTCTTTTTCTTCCTCTTCTTACCCTGACAGGGCCTTCTTCGAATACTTTCAGAGCTGAAGTATTTTCACCAATTAGTACGCCATGACATGACGTAGAGGCTGTTTCTTAATCTCGGACAGCTCATTGTCCATCCATCCGCAGAACCTCTCACTCGAATACTCATAACGTCGGCTCATTAGAAGCGGTCATCGTCCATGCCTCTGGATCGCATAGCAGGACGAAGATGATGAGTGACTTGTAGAATTTGGTCTTTGTTCGTCGAGAGAGGATTTTACTTCTCAATTGTCTACTCAGTCCGAAGCATCTGTTAGCTGGAGTTATTCTGCGTTGTTTTTCGAGAGTGATGTTGTTGTGGGAGCCAAGTCGCGAATGGGACGATTGTTTCTTTGATGTTAGGAGATATTTCGTCTTGCCCTCGTTCACTACTAGACCCATTTGCTTTGGTTCTTATTCAGTCTATAGAAAGGTGCACTGATATATCAAATAACACTAAAATTATAAAGATCTGTAAAGTTATTATCCGGGATTTGCTGCGGGATCAAAATCAAACAAATTTTCAGTTATCACACTGAGGCTTTTCAAGTTTATTCACATACAATGTTATATACATATGTTTATAGGCGATTTGAATGTTGTGCTCTGGCCAACTAGTGTTGAAACACACATGCACCTTGCGGTATCATATTATACCCTTTATGCTCTGATTTGCATGAAAATTGGTTGGTCTTAAAGTCGCCACGCTTAAGAGATATCACTTGTCCCAATGACACACTAGCGTTTTCTTCACAGAGACTTATTTACGTATGTTCTTCTGTGCGTTAGTTGTTCAAATGCGTTGATCGCAGATATTAAATGACAAGCGTGTAAAGCGCGACTGGAATTTTAATCGTAATTGTATCCGAAGCACACTTAAACTTAAAAACTCGAAATTTCTACATACCGATATATACTTTACATATGTAGATATTAGGCATTTATTATATTTAAATGAAAAGATTTCTTAACCAACTATGGCGATTTACGAAGTGTTGATACGTCATGCCATTGGGAGAGTTCTTGGCGATCACATAAATGAGTACATACAAATAACTTTTGGACTACCCAATATATTCATCAAATATGTGGCCATTAATTATTCATGCAGCCGGGCGAGAGTTTGGAAATATGAATGAAGTACATGAAGTGCATGCTCTTGACGAGCTTTGGCTTTCTTCTAATTATTGAATAACAGCACAGCAGAGGTCAATACATTTTTCAATCACTTGTAGTTAATTTTCCCGCTTTAGAGTTTATTTAATTTCCGATTCTTACGCTCGTGGCTTTGTGACACTCTTTACCACTATTTATGAGACAAAATTGCAAGCTGAAGAGCATTCTTACTCCTACTTGGCCACTGAATTTACTTTATATATTTATTTGCAAATATTTAGTTAGATTTCATTAATTACTCATGGCTTGTGTGTCTTTGATTTCTTACAAATCGAATATTTGTTGAGAAATAGTATCTTCAATTATTTGTGTCATTAAAATGCCGATTTATCTGACGAAATTCAAATATCTTCTAATCAATGGATGCCAATTTCAACAGTCTTTCTGGCGATTGACTTAGATACAAACGCACTTAGCATACATAAAAGAAACGAAGAAGAAAATGCAAATTAATCAAATCATCGTTTTCCCTGCACAGATTGAACCCAGCAGAGGATTTAAAGGTGAAGCAATGCAGAAGCATCTAGGCTTAAAAATTCCATAGGGGGGTATATACTCGTACAGAGCAACTAGCTGCCTTCGACTGGTAATTTCTCTGCTCTCTTCTCGAAAAACTGACGTGCTAAACTCTATTGAAAAAGGAACGTAACACTATTAGCTCCCCGTTTGATTGAGCATCTGATATATTTAGTTTTTTCGATTCGCTAGACAGTAATTCTTGGCGAATTGAAGACGGCTTCTCTATCATATAGAATCTCTAAGCCAAGCAACTGAAACCTGAATGAGACTAGGCAGTGTAACAATATAAATAAAATGGTTGGGGGCTATTGCTTCCTTTTACTTACACTTAATACTTATATATTCAGTTTTTCGCTAAAAAAATAATTGTACAATTTTTTTTTGTACAATAATTGTACAATTTTTTTTTTTTGCTGCTAAAATTTGCAAAGCTCACTTTATATTCGTGAGAGTTACTAAAGTTACTAAAGCAAAAACTGCCCCACTGCAATTAGTCACATGTCACGGCAAGTTCGGCTAATGACTTTTTGAAAGCGATTTTGTCACAAAGCAATCAATCTGTATAAATCGTGTTAATGCTTGAGTTAATATTAGACAAATGATTATTCAATGACAAATGTCAAATGCAAGCATTTGAAGTGTTGCGCGAATACCCGAGTTACTTCTTAAAAACAAAATACGACTGTGAGCATGAAATAGTAAGACTTTGTTCATAATTTGAAAATTCGTAATTCCAGTGAACACGGATTTTGATTGGCCCACATCTTGATCGTTATTTATGTCCTCAAGACCACTTTGAAAACGTTGCTACCACTCGTGCACTCTGCTACGGGATAGGCAATCGTCATCATACCCTTGTTTCTACAATTGAAACGTTTCGGTAAAAGTTTTACAAATTTTAAAACAAAATTTAATGTCAGCTCTTTGTTTTTCGCAACGATAACACTAACACACTGACACTTAAAACGCAATAACTTCACTTCCAATCTATGAAATGTCATGAAATTCTCACTGGAAAATCGATGAAGATAGCAGATTAACGTACCAGTCGAAAAATAGATGGCGCCGCCAGGGCGCGCTAAATTCAAAAAGTCCCGCACCTTGTATTCTTCAAAATATATGGCGTCCCCAAAGTAATCTCCTTGGCTTAAGTACACTTGTGTCAATTTTTCAATCGGCAGAACAATTGTTAAAATCATTGGCTTTCATTGCGCATGGCTTCACGTTTAACGTTTTCAATTCACTCAAAATGACCTCCCCGATTTAGTGAGTGGTTTGAGTTTACTGAATAATCAGAAGTCCACGGGTCAGCGGAAAATGGTGGTTAGGGCGAGATATTGGTTGAAAATTTGGCGAAAGATTCACTAAGAATCAGTGCAGTTTGTGATTGTGCATTAACGACTAAAAAAACAAGAGTTATCGGCTCATAATTCTGTAAATAGCTTTACGCAAACGACGCATAACACTCTTGAAAGGAATTAGGAGTGAACCACACCCCGATAACCGAAAGAAAACTGTCTACGTAACCTTCATTCTTGAATGTTACGTTTTTTGGCTTCGGCTCACCTTTTCTCTGATGTTCGGTTGATCGTTTGTTTCTGGGTCGTAGGCATAGATTCAAGTCTCATCGCCGGTAATAATATATTTCATGATATCTTGGTGGCGACGCGGTTTTTGAAAAATGAGGTTTTTTGGAACCAATTGTGCTTTCACGTTTCTTAGGCCCAAATTATCTTTCAATATAGTTTTCACTGATCCTTCCCCTATGTCAATGATGCCAGTAAGTTCTCTGACTACGAATCGTCGATTCTCAGGCATCAATTTCTTTATTTTATTGACGCTGTTGATCATCAGTTGATGCTGCTGACCGTTCTGGACGTGATGTGCCGTCATCCGTTCACGGTCCTCTTTGAATAATTTGCGCCATTCTCACATTTTCCTTCACAGATTAGTACAATTTATAAAGGGCTGCTACATACTATGTGTATTTGTAAAATATGTATATTTGGTGATTACTTTCAAAGGCGTAAGACCTGTAAATAACTGTTTATCATAGAAATAGGCAGGAAAGACATTGAGTGACGAAACATAATTATTTACAGTGCTTTTGAGAAGCCGCCCACTTGTCACACATACACACACACACACACATCTACGCAGTTAAAAGCCAAAGTAATTACTACAACTGCAGATACTCAATATGAAAAATGAGCCTTGATGACACTTGATTACTTCAGGGTTGCTGCAGCTTTGCGCAGAGCTTTTATCTGTGTCAATTAAGAAGTTTTCGAAAAAAATATGTTGTCCACAAAGACTTGTGGTTTTATTAGTGGTTAACCGCGTATAAAACTCGCCTGAAAGGCACTAAAGCAACACACACTTGAACATGTGTGTACATATAACGCCAAAGTCTCATAACGGAGTCTGTGAAATTGTAGAGATAAGAGTAGTGTAAGACTAAATAATGACTCATGTACACACACCCACACATCCATGCACACCGAAGTAGCTGAAGCGCCTTTGTTTGAGGCAAGAATTCAGCCCACACTCGGCCAAAACTCGACCAAAGTGCAGTTATGCACCTGCAACACTAGGCACGAGAGTGTAAATAAGAAAGGGTGCACTTAATTAAAAACACATAATTATGTAA